GAAGCTTTAGGGAAGTCCAACCTAGTCAACAGTGACAAAAACAGATTAGTCCCCAGGGGTGGGTGCTAACAGAACAGGGATGCAAAGAAGCCTTTAAGGGTGATGAAATATTCCAGCTCTCGACTGCTAGTGCGGTTACAAAGGCATATATAGAATATATAATACATATGACTGTATACTTACAGTATGTGCATTTTATTGGTGGTAAACCACAAAAAGTTGATATTGTAAAAAACAACCAAATAAAACCCCGACATTTTCTATTACATTGGGCTCATTCTATTTCAGGATGTGCTTACAAGTATAACATCAGTTCCTTCTGAGAGGAAACTGCGTAGACAGGGACAGGCGTGGGAAGACATCAAAATGTTTACCCTTTTGTACATTTAAACATCTGAACTGTAAGGTTACGTTAGTTAATTTTTAAATAAATAAAATTTTAAATGAAGGAAAAAATTCTAAAAACATGCTCTTCATTGGTGAAATGAGTGAGATATTATTACCTGAGGCCCCTCATCGCCGAAAAACTATGCGACTGTTGCCCAATCTATTTCAGTTGTGGAAACCCTGCTTTTTGAGACAGGCACTCTATGTGGCCTCTATTTTACCAAACTCCTCTGAGTTCTCAGTGAATATCATTTTTTAGCATTTTTTCATATTTTAGTATTTTTCATAAACGCACATGTGTGTGTCTGCCTGTATGTATCTGATTTGAGAATGTCTTTTATTTTCTTTGTAGTTTCATCTCCTATGTGTGTATCCCTGACCAATCCTGTTCAGTTTCTGCACCATTTAAAACTTAATTGAATCATTCAGCCTATATTATTCTGTGCATCTTTTGACCAAAATTACATTTGTAAAATTTATCCCTGTTGTTGCTAAAGCTGTATTTTCATTGTTTTATGGTATCGCAATTTATAATAAATAAACGAATCACAATAAACTTATCCATTAAATTATTTGTGGACACTTCTACAAAGTATTCTTTTGGTCCCTGTTGCCTATAGAAAAAACAAATCCAAACATACAACATAGCATCTGAGACAACTACTGACCCCACAAAGCACCTAGCCAACCTTATCTCCCACCACCTTTTCTACCAACCCATGCTGCCATTGCATCTGCACACTGTGTGGTGGCTGAAATATTAGGTACACCTTCAAGATGCTATTGTGTTCATTGTATTCCTCAGGGTTAGAAGGCTCTTGATCATGTACTAGATCTCCCAAATCATTCCTGTCCACTGAGTCTGGTTCAAGCATGATCTTCTTATTAAGAACCCCACAATCTCTTCCATCCACAATACCACTGTTCCCAAAAACCATATCAAAACGAATTATCCTTTCCCGAATCTTCCACCTCACTTAATTCATGTAACTTTGAGTTATACCCATTGGTTACGGCTGTGTCATAATTTTTGCCCAAAATCTTGCAGGTAATGGGCAGGTAATAAATGTTGAAGCTTTTGAGTCAAATTCAGACTCCTAAAACCCACTGCTAATGCCAGGTGCTAAATCACTCAAAAATCTCTTTAAAAAGTTTATTTCTACAAAACTGAGATAACATCAATTAAAGTGAAAACAACATCCCATTGCTTAAGACAGATTTGGTTGGGTTCCTCATAGTTTTAAAATTGATTTTTTTTTGGCCGGGCGCGGTGGCTCAAGCCTGTAATCCCAGCACTTTGGGAGGCCGAGACGGGCAGATCACGAGGTCAGGAGATCGAGACCATCCTGGCTAACACGGTGAAACCCTGTGTCTACAAAAAAATACAAAAAACTAGCCGGGCGAGGTGGCGGGTGTCTGTAGTCCCAGCTATTCCGGAGGCTGAGGCAGGAGAATGGCGTAAACCCAGGAGGCAGGGCTTGCAATGAGCTGAGATCCGGCCACTGCACTCCAGCCTGGGCGACAGCGCAAGACTCCCTCTCAAAAAAAAAAAAAAAAAAAAAAAAATTGATTTTTTTTTTTTTCTCATAGAAAATACAGTGCTTTAGAGTTCCCAAGACATGGAAGGTTAGAGTACCATATAATTTAAGATCAGTTGAGAAGACATACATTATTTAAAAAAAAGTAATGTCCTTGAAAATCATTTTAAGCCCCAGAGCAACAAATAAAAGGGAAAAAAAACAAAACTTTAATGACATTAATGGGTCATAAATTCCAATGAATTATAATGCAAAAGCAACTAGTAATTCTCAATTTAAAGAACAGGACAGTCATTTTTGTCAAAGAAAATACATGCATGGAATGCAGATGCCACAAACAGGAGACGAAATAAAACAGATAAGGAGAAGGCTGTATCTAGGTGGAATGGCTGGCCAATGTTTTCCTCTCCATCAGTCATAAATAAAATGGTTGGAAGAAAATACCCCTGAATACTACCAAATATGCCTTTCAATTATTTTATGCAAAAACATTATTTTTAATAGGTGTCATTAAAGAAAACATCATAGAAAAAAAAAGTTTGCAACTCATGTTACGGAAATTAGGCTAAAGTCTTTAATATAAAAACAGCTCCTATAAATCACTAAGGAAAAGAACAATGGCCTACTTGAAAAAATAGACAGGTTATTTATAAACAAAAATGCTGATAAAACATAACTGTAGTGGTTATTAAACATAAGATAAAATGCTCAGAGAATTGCAAAATAAAAACATTTTGGGATAGTCTTTTTCACCTATCAGATTTATAGGATCAAAAAGTTTCATAAAATATTCTTGGCAAGGGTGTAGCAAAGTAGGCAGTCACGCACATTGCTGGTGGGAGTATCAATTGTTAGAACCCTAAGGAACTGCATGCAATATGGTGATAGCCATCAAAATTACAAGTGCACATGCCATCTGACCCAGCAATTCCACTTCTGGGAAGTTCTCTAAAATACCTGCATACATGCAAAATTGTGCATGTACAGGGTCATTAGCTATAACGCTGAAATAGCAAAAGCTTGGAAACATCACTGCCTCAGTAGGAGACAGGTTAAGTAATTTGAGACATCCTTACAATAGAATTCTGAAGCAGCTGAAAAAGAACAAGGAAGTAATCACCAAGAAATACTAGGAAAAGGGAGAGCTCGTATGGTGTTCCACAATTTGCATAGAATATGGTGTTTTGCTGAAATGTGCACTATCTGGAAAGAGACACAGGAAACTAGTAACATTGGTTGCCTCCGTGAGGTAATTGGGCGGCCGGGGACTGGGATGAGAAAGAGATTTTCAAAATGCTTACCCTTTTGTATCTTCAAAACTTTTGAACTATGAGACTGTATTAGATTTTTAAAGAAATAAAATTTAAAATTAAGAAATAAAATGTTAAAAACATTTAAAACATGAGTGAGACACAGCCCTAAGACTAATAGACTATTGCCCAATCTAGCATAAGACAATAAGTCCTTCTTATTTGAGTGCTCGCATAACTCCATAATAAGATAGATTTGTAATAAACTCTAGAAACACAGGTAGCTAAGAGACCCAAAGTTAATCCACTTTCAGGGACCTCCGACAAGACAGAGTTCGTTCTAAGAGAAAACACCAGGACGAGTAGAGATCTGCAGGAAAATACTCACCTTGCTCAAGTCAACCTAGAAAATGACAGGCTGTCTATTTTGTGCAATTTATTTCTCAACTTTAAGGTTCAGAAATCTCTGTCCTGTAACAAGGTATCTGTCACGGGAGCTCTGATTATTCTGCACCGTGTGGGTCATGTTTGTCATGAGAACACTTAGCAAACAAAGAAAGCTTTTCTCCGCCCTCAATAGCGTGGTAACCGATGACAGGACGCCACTTTCAACGAAGGAGACAGACACTTCCCTGGCCTTCCTGGTGAAGAGCGCCTTTTGGAGAGACAAACCTGTTGCTCAAGAGCTGAGCATTCCCGTGTATTCTCCCTGTACTTCACCTAAAAATACGCCTGTTTTCCACACTGGGCACACCCGGGGGTGGGTGCTGGGCATACTCCACCTGCTTGTTTGCCTCCCGTTTTCTCATCAGGGAGTAAAGACAGTAAACCTAACCCTTCAGGGGAAGGAAAAACAAATCATTCAGGGCCCATTTCAGGTGACTGACGAATGCGGCACCGTTTTGAACGTGTACCTAATCTGGTCCAGATATGCCTGCTGGGGCCGCAAGAACCAAGACACGTTCAAGCACGTTTGCTCCGGCAAGCTTGGGCGAGCAGGTCAAGACCTGAGAGTTTTAGAAAGCAAGGGCAGAGTTTTCAAGTACGACGGGAACACCTGTAGGTGCAGGTGCCTGCGGGTCGGCCGAGCACCTCGCATCTGAGGCTGGATCCGCACACGGAGGACGACAACTGCTGACAGGGACTGCGTCCGGAGGAAAGTTGCGGTGAGTGTCTACCTGTTAGAGACCGGTGGCCGAGAAAGTGGGGCAGGGCAGACAATTCTTCCTCCGCAGTGTCCCGCGGGCTCCCCCTGCACTGGGTCCCCGGGGCCCCGGGCGCCCCAAGGTCACCTGCCCTCCTGAGCGCCCCCACCTTGCCCAAGCTCTCACCAGAACAGCAGGTTGGCGGCGACGAAGCCGAGCAGGCTCCGCAGCGGCCTCTTCCAGCTCAGCAGCTCGTCGGCGCGGCAGCCCAGCCACACCACCGGCTCCCCAAGTAGCCAGGTTACCGCGGCAGCCGCCCGGCCCGCGGCCTCCTCCACCTGCAGCCCCTCGCCCTCCGCCGCCCCAGCCTCCTGCGCTTCCTCCTCCTGCTGCTGCCGCTCTCCTGGGGGTGCCTGGGGCGGCGGCGGCGACGGCGGCGCCTGCTCCTCGGCTGTGGCAGCTGGGCATCCCTCCGCGGCGTGCTCCGGAGGCGCCGGGCTCGCCATCTTCAGCTGGGCTTCCAGGCGGAGACCGGGCCGGGCGCGCGCGCGGGCGCGCCTGGGTGTGGGCGCCGAGGGCGGGGCGGCGGCGGCAGGTCCCGGAGCGGGGCGCGCACCGCGGGGCGCAGGCGGCTGGGGGCCTTGTGACGTCACAGGCCGCAGAGGGGGCGCCGCCCGGGGAAGTGGGTGCGGCCGAGTTCGCGCAGGGGCGGGGCCGGGCGCCGGGGCTGGGCGGTGTCCCCGGGGGGCTCCGGGCTCCTCGAGGGCCTCTCCGGGGACACGAGGAAAACGACCTTCTTTTCCCTTGCAGTGGCGGGGGAGGGCGAAGTGGAAGACCGCTGCTCGGTTCCGTATCCAAAAGGGACCCAAGGCTACAGGCAAAATAGATTGGACATTTTCACTTTCTCAAGCCAGGGCCACCGGTCGCCCAACCAACAGCCACTGAGGGTGGTATCGGAGCGCCCCTTCCCCTGGCAGCGTATTTCAGCCCCCAGAAACATCCCCCACCTCGGCCATCCCCAGCGCCTTTGCAGGGACAGCAGCACAACCATAGCAGAGGTTTTAGGCACCCTGGGAATAATGTGCTGGTGTAAATGTTGGATTGAGAAATGAAAAAGCATTTGGGATCAATCTGAGGACCTCTCGTTTGACACGGGAGGAAACACCAGGCCGCAGCGTTGGGGGAAGCTGCTTCCTTTCTCTTCTTTCTCTTTCTCTCTCAGGTGCTTTCTCTCTCTCTCCCCCCCCCCCTCTGTCTCTGTCTCTGTCTCTCTTCCTCCTTGTGGCTAGGTGATCTGGCTCAGAAGTGCACGTTGGTCCGCGCCTGCAGGGAGCTGAAAAGGAAAAGACTGGACCTATGCACGTGTCAAGCAAGGTTTGGCCTGCTTTGAAGACAGTGATTTCAGAGCCACTCCAGTCTCTGCGTCACAAGCAAGCATCACGGCAGTGGTGGGGCGGCAGGTGATCCTGAGACCTCCTATGCCATCTCTATGGCCCCGGTGCTTCTGGGTGAGTGTGGGGAAAGAGGAAAAGAGTTCATGGTTTATGCTTTTCACCATTTGCATTTTTAAATTTTTGTTTTCTTTAATCTTCCTGGTCTTACTTTTACTCTAGAATGACAGGTCCTTCCCCCTCATCCTAAGGGTTCTATCTGCGGATGAATCAGGGCATCTCATATCCCTTTACTGGCAACCAGCCTGCCTGCACAGGATGGAAGGGAGGGCAATTAAATTCCCTGCGTCGAGAGCCTCTGGGGGAATGTTCTGTAACGCTCTTCTGGGTGGCCATTGTAAACCTCTGTGTATACACATGCGGAATCCATTGATCTGTACATTCACTGCAGGTGTCTGTACTTCACTGTGTGTTGTACTTCAAAGGGGGTATATTCCCAGAGTCCATGCAAAGGCTTACTGAGCACCTACTGAGTACATACAGCATTGCTAAGCTCTGTGGATGCAGCTTCCGCCCACAGGAAGCTCCCAGTCTGATGAGGGCCTAATTACAATTGTGATATCTGCCACATCAAAGAAGCAATCGCTAAGTGCTAAGAGATCCCTTAAACTGTGCATCCAAAATTAGGGGAGGAGTGGAGAAATCAGGTTTCAAGAGGGTTTTGTAATAAATGGCCTCTGCCTTAAATTGTAGGGCCCCCATTAGTGTGGGGATTGGGGACAGGGACAATAACTGCTGTTGGGAATTCAACAGGAGAGCAGGCGTGGGGTTGCAGGTGGAGACGCACAGTGCCTTAAGTAACTCCCAAAGGGAATGGTGGACCTTGAATGACCCCTAGTAACAGGAGGCTTAGTTTTTAACTAAAGGTGATACAGAACATCTGGCACTTCCGACTCCCCTTCTTAGGAGTATCCTGATAATCCGATGGAAAGTGGCCTGGGTGGTAAGGAAAAAGCAACGTGGAAACAATTCAGGTTTTATCCATATAAGAAAGACAGTTTTTTCCCAGGTGTGGGTCCTCCCTCTTGGCAGTAGTGGAGAAGTTTTTGAAAGATAAATGATGCTTTTATTGTGTCATTTGGCCTTTGTTTGGCGCTTGATACAGCCCAGGGTTTGCTATTCTAAAATCTGTCACTAGACAGAAGTGTGCCGCAGCCAGTGTGGAGAACATGGGGCAGGAGAGAGGAAGAACCAGGTGTCCCCATGCCCCAGACCAGTGCTGATGTGCTACCAGAAACGGGTTTGCAAGATTAATCACCCTCCTCCTGCTTCCCCTGAATTCTAATTATTGTTGCGAGGATCTGTTGAAGTAGTAAAAGCTGCTGGCAACCAAGACACATAAAAGCTAAACTCCAGTTGCTGTGTGTAGTTTCCAACACTTATTTATTATCTCTGTTTAATAATAAACCTGCCTCCCCACAGTTGTGTGTTGTAAAGTCTATCGTTTCTCTCTCTCAAAATTACTATGGAGAAAATGCTACGCAAATAGTTTTGCATAGAAGGCTGGGCTAATTAACCTGTCCTTTTCACCTCCGACCTCTGATAGTTACAAACAAACTGTATGACACAAGTAGACACTGGAATAGACATACAAATGGTGCTGCTGGGTGGAATTTTGTTGTTGTTGTTTGACTAATGATATTTGTGATGCTTGAGTAATTTATTCAGGGCTAAGATTACAGAAACATAAGGCTAACAATGGTTGAAATCAACCTCGTCCTCTAGTTTTAAGAACACGCCACATTCTTGAACTCCTGCAGGTAACCTAAGATTCTCTTCTGAATTTTTATTGCTATATATTAGGAACAGAGTGATTAACACTAGCGAGCTAGATGATTTGACAATATATATCTGAGAAAAGGAAACTGGAAATGCATCTGAGGAAAAAAAAGTCCATAGCTGCTGAATCTGAGACAGTTTAGAAAATGAGACAGCTCCAGTAAAGAAAGTCCAAATACATGTAAGAACTCTCTAACAGAGGCCACTCACCTTTCTCATGTAAGAGTATGTGGAAAGCTTGTAATAGGAGAGAAAAATAATAATTAATTCCCACTACAGGAAGTCTCCTAGGGCAAAATCAAGTTAAGACTTAAAAGGATGGAGAAATGCCACCCAGGCATAATATTTTGGGGAGATTTCTTTTCTCTAAAATATTATATATTAGACTCTTATAGTAGCTCCATAATTCCTTAAACAAAAGGAGGCTGCTTGAAATGGTTTGGCTCTGTGTCCCCACCCACCTCTCACCTTGAATTGTAATAATCCCCACGTGTCAAGGGTGGGACCAGGTGTAGATAATTGAATCATGGGCGCCGTTTCCCCCGTGCTGTTCTCGTGATACTGAGTTCTCACAAGCTCTGGTGGTTTTATAAGGGGCTTCTCCCTTCGCTCAGCACTCATTCTCGCTCCTGCCACCCTGTGAAGAGACGCCTTCCGCCATGATTGTAAGTTTCCTGAGACCTTCCCCAGCCATGCGGAACTGTGAGTCAATTAAGCCTCTTTTCTTTATAAATTACCCACTCACAAGTGTTTCTTCATAGCAGCATGCGAATGAACTAAAACTATAGTTGTGTACATGTTGTATTTATTAGCCTGCAGATAGCATTTTTTGTGTCAATAATTTTATGAAACCGTTTCTACCCTCCTCTCCTTGCTATATCCTCTGTTCCTTATTCCTAAATTTCCATAATTTTCTTGTCACTATGAAAACCTGGATAGTTCACTCTAAGCACGGATAAGTAAGAGTATCACACAGCATCAGCAGCAACAGAGCAGTTGGAAAGGAGGGAAGTTCATCTCCCAGGTCTCAAACCCAACTTCCAAGGCCCAGCCCAGTGCCTGGTTCACAGAAGGAATTCACTGTTTCTACTTATGTTGAATGTCTGTTGTGCATATACAAACTGAAATATTCAAACTAGAATAGTCTGTGTTGGACAAGCATTCTGTAAGGGATGTGCTTACCAGAAAGATAGTGGCCAAGATGTTGGCCACCCAGATATGTTGGGGTACTGCTTCCTAATCCCTAAAAGGAGTTTTTTTTTTTAAGGCTTCAAAATGGTTACTTGAAAAGAACTAAGGTCACATGACAACAAGTATATCCTCCAAGGAGGCCTGTCTATCCCCAGGTACACACATAAACACACACACACACCCCTATGATCCACAGGGGCGACTGCAGGACATTAACTTCCAACCCCTTCCCAACAGGAATCTGAACCAGCAGACAAAGTACTGCCGGGTCCTTGCTGCAGCCTCTTCCCCCACCCCCTTTGATGGTCCTGGTTCTGCATCATTGTACTTGCGTATCATTCACTCATTATTTCTTCAGTGCTTCATTCACTAGTTATCAGACATTCCTGAAAGGCTGACTGTGGGCTTCTGGTAAGATGAAAAGGACTGCTTATTTCTCTCATGGTGCTTAGGGCATAGACAATGGATAAAGACCCTGAAGAAGGTGCTGGGCAAAGGGAATGGGGAAGCATGACGTGCACAGTCTGGAAGCAGGAGAGGAGCCAGCATAGCCAGGAAACCTCGAGGAGATCTAAGCTGGAGGATGGGGTGGGAGGAGCAGGAGGCTACTTACAGTGGGGCTCCTCCTGTATGATGCTAAAAGCTTCTGCTTTGTCCTGAGAGCAACAGGGAGCCACGGGTGGGCTTGCAGCAGGAGACAGAGGGGCTAGTCTGTGTTTCAGAAAGATTTCTCCAGACCTTGGAGGACATAAAGCCTGGCAGAAGGAAGGCACTGTCAGAGACTTTTCCCTTGTCATTATCTAGAATGAGGGAGGAGGAAGAACCAGTTTGGAAGGGAGGTTGACAAGTTTCATTTTTGAAAATGGATCTGCATTTGGATATCTCTGGAGATGCCAGTAAGGTTGTTGGGTACAGAGTCTGCAGCTCAGAGACCAGCAGGCATCCTGAACAAGACAGATCCAGGCAGACAGAATGGCTTGTAGGAGAACTTGGCAGAGGGCATGACCAAGAAGAGTTCAGAGGCACTGGCCAGTTCCGTGCGACTGCATGGGGGCATGGTATGTGATAAGACTTTTGGATAAATAGATCAAATAAAAGAAAGTTTTAAGTATCAGTAACAGAATTTTAGAAAAAAATCCTGTGAGCAGTAGAGAATTCCTGGAATTTGTGGGTTTCTGTGTTGTTGACTTTTACCAAGGAAGTGATAGAATCAAAGCAGCAGTGTCCTGAGGTCCCGGGAACTCCAGGCTGACTTCCATCCTCAAAGAAAAACTGTGTTGTGATTCTCTCTAAATCCAGGTCTGCAAATCAGGCCTCCAGTCTCAAGGGGGTATCTTCCATGCTAAAAATAGATGAGTGGAATGCAATGGAATAGCTATGAAAGTGACATCGCACAACCCTTCCAAGTGTATATTTGGCTTGTCACCTGTTACTAATTTTAGTTCATTAGAAATCAGGCACAAAATGTGGCGACGCTTGAGGCTATGAAAATGGCTGCAGGCCCTGCAGTCAGACCATGTCACACGTGCCCTCTTCAGTTATGCATACATGCTGCAGTCGGGTGCTTGCACAGCTAGTGGTGTTTCTGGGGACCCATTAGCACTATGAAACCCTAATGTCTTCTGACCCATTCAAGAAATATGGCTCTACTTATTATAGTTCACAGTTCAGTATATTTGCTTGTAGGTTAATTCACTGAAAATGGATGCTCTCTCTACCTCTTGCTAAGTAAAAATTAGAGAATGATGGCCAGGTGTGGTGGCTTGCGCCTATAATCTCAACACTTTGGAAGGTGGGCAGATCGCTTGAGCCCAGGAGTTGGAGACCAGACTCTGTAACATGATGAAACCCCATCTCTACAAAAAATATGCACCTGTAGTCCCAGCTACTCAGGAGGCTGAGGTAGGAGGATTGCTTGAGCCAGGGAGGTCGAGGCTGCAATGAGCCATGATCGCACCACAGCACTCCAGCCTGGGCGACAGAGCAAGACCCTGTCTCAAAAATATATATATACATATATGTGTGTGTGTGTGTATATATATATATATATATATATATGAGGCCATTGTTTGTTGCTGTTGTCGTGAGTGCGGGAGTGAGAAGGTGGAAAGAGTAGAACAAGGGGTTTGATCTGTAACTGACTGCTAACAATCAATTGAGGTAACTCACTACCTTCAGACTAGTCAGTAGGCTGTTGTTTTGGACTCAGCTCCTGCACTAGGCCCCAACAGACCAGACCAAAAATCAGAATGAAGTCACTCATGCTGACGTTCTACATTGCCAAGCCAAACCTGAGTTGTTAACCGACCTCCAGAGCAGTCCAGAACAATCTGGAGACAGAGCCAAATTTTCCAAGCAGGCCAGTTTCAATCTGCATGGTAACGAAGTTCCCTCTACTCTCTCCCTTCCAAGGGAAAGTGACCTGATGTTAACCAATCAGTTACTTCTCTACTGTTCTGTTCCCCATTTCCACCTTGCAAGGAAAGTAACTTTGAAATGACCAATCGGCTTTTTGGTCTTTGTCCCTGCTTTCTTCAGCCCTTCTCTGTATGAAACCACCCTCCTCTACTCAACCCATTGGAACACTTGTTCTTAATAAAGCCAATTAAGATCTTAAAACTAAACCTGTGATAAGGTTGTCCTTTGATGCTCTGAACTATTTTTACTCCCAATGCTTCTGGCACCAAATATGTGGGTTTTTCCATACCAATAATCAGTTCTCTAATTGTCTGTACACCAGCTGGGTATCAAACAATTCACTTCTGATACTACCTGGCCTAACCCAGTGGATCCCATGGGTTAAGGGCTCAGCCCCATAAGACCACCCCCATTTCAAATGCTAACCACAAGTCCTGGACCTCCAATACTTATAAAGCAGAGGTTTCTGTGACTGAGCTTGATTAATTGATTGATTGATAGACACACACACACACACACACAGAGTCTCACTCTGTCACCCAGGCAGGAATGCAGTAGCATGATTATGGCTCACTACAGCTTCCACCTCCCAGGTTCAAGTGATCCTCCCATCTCAGCCTCCAGAGTAGCTGGGATCACAGGTGTGTTCCACCACACCTGGCTAAACTTTTATTTCTTCTACAGACAGTGTCTCCCTGTGTTGCCCAGGCTGGTCTTAGACTTCTGGGCTCCAGCAGTCCTTCCACCTCAGCCTCCCAAAGTGCTGAGATGATAGGCATGAGCCACCGCTCCTGGCTCAAGTTCAATAATTTGCTAGAACAGCTCACAGAACTCAGGGAAAACAGTTTACTTACTGTTGCTAGTTTATTATAAAGGGAATTATAAAGAATATGAGTGAACATGCAGATGAAGAAGTACATAGGGCAGGCAAGGTCCAGAAGGGTCCTGAACATAGGCACTTCAGCCCCATTGGGGAGTTGGAGTGTGCCACCCTCCTGGCACGTGGGTGTGTTTGCTCACTCT